GCCAGCTCAGCAGAAGAGAATTATCTTCTGCGTCGCCGGGGTGCTGAGCTTCGCTTGCGCGCTGGGGGCCGCGGCAGCCGTCGGCACGCAGCTGTGGGTGAAGGGGACGATACTCTGCAAGACGGGAGCGCTGCTCGTCAACGCCACCGGCCAGGAGCTGGAGAAGTTCATCGGCAAAATCCAGTACGGGCTTTTCTACGGCGAGCGCGTGAGACAGTGCGGGCTCGGGGGGAGACCTTTCCAGTTTTCATGTGAGTAACAATGGCATTTGAATTATTTAGCACCGTGCTGCTGGCGGCCAAGGGAGCTGGGAGGCAGCTGCCCCAGCGGCCCCCTGCTCGCAGGCAGAGCCTATCAAGCATGAAATGTTCTAAAGCAAAAGCTGCCGTTACAGTGTTCCCATACTCAGGCTCAGATGGCTTCTTTTCTCATACTAGTAAAGTCATGCTAACATTTTCAGCAATCTGTATTTTGATTACACAGATATCTACATTTAAAAATATTTATACTATTACTTTAATTGAAAACCAAACCAATTATTTTTTTGATCTGTCATCTTCCTCTGTGCACATATCAACGTTATGTCCTCTGCTCCATCGTGACGGAATGAAGTAAACCAGCAGAAATCTCATGAGAGAGCTGGGGCATAGATACGTCCGGCTGCTGTTGGGAAACAAAGCAGCCACAAAGTTAGCAATCATCTGCTGCGTTCATGGGAAAAACAGCTGGTTGATGGCAGCTGGCGTTCAGTCGGTTGATCTGCAAGTCCAACTTGGTACCCGACATATAGAATTTTGTCCAAGACTGCTAGCAATGGTTTTGCTTTACAGGTAATACTCATAACCTATTTATTTTCAAGGATAAGATCATCAATAAAATGATCAAGTGAACACGCAGCTTGTATAGAGCAGCCGTTTGTTATATGCACAATATGTTGCCTGAACTTGGGACAAAACACAGTTTAGAAGCATTCTGCTCACCCAGTGAGCACTGGTAAATGGCTTATACCAGTCATTAAAGTGCAGTACGTTTACCAAATTAGGTACCAGAATTTATTTACTACATAACAGTTTTCCAAAGCAGCAGACCAAATTCCTTCAATGCAATATTAAGATTTGCCATCTCTAATTAAGCTCTGTCACTAGTCTATTCACGCAGCTCAAGTTCTCCTCAACTGCTCTGCGTGCCGGCGCAGCGTGCAGACGTTCCGCTCCGCTGGCGATAGGCTGGGGGCCGTTTTCAGAGGGGTCTGCTAAATCCCCAGGAATGAGTTTTCTGCTGTAGGTGACATTGTTGTGAGCCAGAGCTGACAAAGCCGCTGGCCATCAGCGGCTCCGTGCGTGATGCTCGTCTGGGCTCGTTCCAGCGACAGAGCCGTCACAGCACGGGGCAAGGAGCAGCCACCCCCAGACCAGGGGTGTCCCCCCAGACAGCTGAGCCCCAGCCCCGGGATCCCTCCTGTGCCTCCGTCGGCTCAGCACACCAGGCAGGACTGAGCCAAGCCCACCAGGCAGCCCCCGCGCCGGGGAAGCCGCAGCCGAGCAGCCCGTTGGCTTCTTCTCTTCCTAATCGCTCTCTTGCTGCCCATCTGTTACTCAGATACTTTTAAGTGTTTCCTCAACCTGCCCTGCGTTCAGGCTCCCGTCCGGACATCTCATCGTGTTACGGCTGAAATATCTTAATATACTGCCAGGGGGATTGTAGCAATAGTTTCAAATGAATTTTAATTTTGTGGGCTGTGTGAATTAATATTACAGGTACAAGAGAGAATACAAACGCGGGGCTGGTTTGTGATGATTTAATAACATCGATCATCACGTGTTTTCAAATGTCTCACAGCACTATGTACAGGTAAGCTCTGGACCTGTGCAAGAGCTGCAGAGCATTTTCAACCAAAATTACTCCAGGGTTAAGAGTTTGCTCTTGCTCTGGCCAGACACCTTCTACCCACGTTCACAGAAGTCTGGTGTAACCAAGCTTTCCTATCCAAACGTTTACCAAACTTGCATTCATTAGTATCATTTCTACAGAGCACGTAAACACAAATGTAACCAAAGAACAGAAATAATGCAACGCGAAGTTTTTAATTGGTCACAGCCAAGCAACCCACTTTGGAATGGTAAAAAAACACAGAAAACCTGAATGTTCATACAGAGCTACAGAGTCCTACTGCACAGGACAATATTAAAAATTAATGTCTTTAATATCAATGCCTAGTATACATATTCAGAGAACTCCAAGGCTTTCAGAAATTGCATAAAGAAATTGAAAAACTAATTCTTTCAACATCAGTAAATATCACTGTTCTCATTTTCAGCCAGAGAAAATGAGGCTCGAAGCGTGTGCTTCAGTGCCTCTTCCCAGGGGCTCAAATCCAGGCTGGATTTAATCTTGTGTCCAGGACTCTTCGAGTCAGAAATGAAGCTGCTGACATGCCCGTGACAGCAGCATCCCTCCCTACAGACAGCAGCCTTGTTTCCAGTGTCCCGATATCCCAGTGTCCCAGCCCACTGGGCATCAGTCTCAGCAGATTGTCACTGGCAATAGCAGAGCTGGCAGGGCTGGAGCACTGGGGCCAGAAACACAAGCCGAGAGCCTTGATCGGCCTAAAACCGAACCCAAGCTTATTAGAGCATCCTTTTACCTTTTATTCGCCTTCTTTACAAGCCAAGCTGCAACAGAGGAATATTTCAACAGGTCTCACTCTCAATGTTACAGTCCTGTTTGCCTGCACCGGCACCCTTTGTACAGCACCCTGAAAAGGGAACGCTGCAGGGTGATCTTCGGCACGGTGTACACCTGAACGTAGCCCGGTTACAGCCTCAGGAATTTCCCAAGCCCAGTTGCAAGGATCACTGCAGTCCACTGGACAGGCTTGGCTTCTGCCAGCTCCCACTGATGGCCGAGGGTGGAAGCATGGCTGTCCTGCTCACAAATTGGTCTCAGATCATCTTTTATTTAGATTAAAAACCAAACACAACGCTTACTCTAATAGGATTTATATTTAGAAACAATCATTGGGAGGCTGAGCAAAATACACCTCGACTAGAAGCGTTCACTTCAGAGACCACTTGAAGAAAGAGGCTGGTTCACACTTCTGGGCTGCAGCAGCCCCATCCCACCCCAGCCGGGGCTCTCAGGAGCTCGCTCCGAGCATCCCGGAAAGCAGGACAGTCACACACAATAGGCACATCCGTAGTTCAATGCACTGAAGTGCATTTTAGCATGTCTGAGAAGAAAAGGCATGGAAAATAGGCTAAAAGATTCAGTTCTATGTTTGTTCCCATTAAACGCTCCCCCCTGACCACTGTATTTCTTTTAATTGTAAAATGAGTTTGCTCTGCCAGCAAACCCAGTTCTGCTGGGGAAAGCCTTCTGCTTCATTTGCTCTTGCTGATTCTCATCAGTTTCTGGGTCAGCAGTTCATTTTCTAAAGGTCGCCGGCACGCAAACCTAACACACCATTTCATTCATCACCGAGGAGGCAGGGGTTTCTTTCAAGGCAACATAGCTGCTGGAATTAATTTTTCCTCATATGTCACATATAAAATTTTAATGACAAACAACTATAAATGCAGGTGCCAAGGGAAAGATTCAATACAATGCAGTAATGTGTTTTCTTAAAATAAACACCACAAAACTGTGTGATTAAATACACAGTTTTGCATGTTCTCCCAAAACAGCAGACAGCATCACCAGAACTAATGCTGCTCCTCATAGCAGCTGTGCACAGGCAGGGACTCGTCAGCCTTTCCGTTGGCTAGCAAATGGTCCGCCAGTAAAACTGTGCCTTGCACCACACTGGCAGAACAACTGCTTCTTACGCTTGTGAATAAATGAAATTTGTAATATAAAGTCCAGTAAACGCAAGGTCTAGTTTCTAAAACATGCTTTGTCTTTTGCTAGGTTGATGTAAGGAATTTAAGCACCAGTGGCCAAACTGGACTATAAGTAGCCATCAGCAGAAGTAACTGTCTTTGTAGGCAAATTCTTCCTTTAAGTAAATGGGTAAATTTAGCAAACAGGTAAATTCTGCTGCGTGCAGCACTTGTGCATGCACGGACAGCGAGCATGTTGTGCTCCTGGCCCAGACCTGGCCGCTCCGAGCTCCTGGGCTCAGAGCCAGGCTGGTGGGGATGCCCCAGGGAAGGGGGTTCGGCACAGCAGAGCCCAGGGCTGTCCCCAGGAGCAGGCAGTACCCAAGGAAGGGGTGAGCTAGTGCAGCATGGCAGGCAGCAGGTGGAGAGCACAGGGCTCCGTGTGCCCCTCCTGCCCCTGTGCCTGGGGAGGGTCCCAGCACCATGGTTCCCTGTGGGCACTGGGTGCCCCTCTCCGCTCCCAGCCTGTCATCAGCAACACGAAAGGCAGCATTTATCTAACACAGCTTCAAGAGCAGTTTGCAAAGGTTGGCTCTGTTAACTTCCCTTTCATTTAGTCGGGGGGATGAGCTGACACCGCATTACCAGCGCCGTGTTTACTGCCCGGCGCTGCAGAGCCCTTTGCTGGTACACACTGCTCAAGGTGCCGTGGTTTGTGTCTGGCTGCTCCCCTCTCCACATGGCACAGCCGCGGCGAGGCAGCGCCAAGGCGTTGTGACCCCCACTCTAACCGTGCCCCTGCGGATCAGGAGCAGTTAAGTGTGTTCGATGAGTCCTTCTATAGTATCCATTGTTGCCAAACAAACCTGAAGGATTAAAAATTATATCTTTGGTGGCATTTGAAAGATCTCGATTTAAAACAATTATCACAAACCAGCGAGAGATCCCTGGCCTGACTTCTAAGACAACTTTGCCTAGTGTGTATAATAATGTCTTGTTCATTTTGTTTTCAGTTTTTCCAGATTTGCTCAAAATTATCCCTGCAAGTATCCATGTTAGTGTCATTCTCTTCTGTACAGTACTGGTCGTCTTTGCTCTGGTGGGAGCAGGTTTCTTCATGTTCAATGCCTTTGGCAGCCCTTACGAAACCCTGCACGGCCCCGTCGGGTTGTACCTCTGGAGCTTCATCTCGTGTAAGTACCACCCCCTCCTCGGCCCGTCGGGCCGATGCCATCCGTGTTTGCTGCTTAGGACGGCTGATTTATTGCTGTAGGAGACTGAATTATTGGGGACCGCAGCTGCACTGACTCCAAACTGACAAAATAAGGCCAGGCAGAAAGGCAGATGACTTTGCTGTATTAAAACATGGGGTTTCCAGTCTGGAGTTAAGAGATAAAATGCCAAAACTCTCTGTGATAGCAGGTGGTGGGACGGGCACAAGCGCAGGCAGCCTCAGCACCCCCGACCCTTCTCCTTAAGCTGGCAGAAAAAGGGGATGGTGCCCATGAGCCCTGGGGACCCAGAGCTGGGGTCGCATCTCAGACGCACATGGTCAGAACCGAGAATCACGCCAGAGCGGGGAGAGGAGGAAAGAAAACCCACACTAAACGAAGAAAAAACCAGTGATGCAACTGCTTGTGTCCACTGGGAAGGGAGGCTCCCAGCAGTGTGAGGGAGATCACCGCTGGCACCAGCAAGGCTTTCTGGGGGAAGAAAGGAACTGAGGAGCAGAGAGGGAGAGGCTGGCAGCGACTCGCTGCAAAAGTGATCTCAGAAAAACGCTGCCAACAGGGATAAGGGACCATCCCGGTCCCCGGCCACTTACAGGGAACGTAAAGCCCAGGCTCCCTGTCACCAGCTTGGCGTTGACAAGAAGATGTACCATTATTTTACAAGGTATTACGTATTACAATCATAATTTAATAAAGGACTTAGGTAGGTATTTATCTTTAAATGTGCAGACAGCTCAGTTATGTTCAACCAGACAATGAGCAGCTTGAAGCTGAAAACGAGCAGAGACACTTTGCTCGATCAGGGCACTGAAGCAGCTGTGCTAAATATCATGGATCCTAAGCCAAATCCAATTTAAAAAGCTTACCAATTTCAATAGCTGTTGGCTTGGATGCTAAAAATAACCCCTGTGAAAGCCAAGTTACAGTGGCCATAACAACACCATCAATGTGGCATTTGGTTGTGACGTACATCACTTGGTCTCGCTGCGGCGATCGCTGAGATGACGAGCATCTCTCCCTCCCTTTCAGGTTCCTGTGGCTGCCTCATCATGATTCTCTTCTCTTCAGAGGTGAAAATCCATCACCTTTCGGAGAAAATCGCTAATTTCAAAGAGGGAAGTTTTTCATTCAAGACTCATGGTGAACAGTTTGCAAATTCCTTCTGGATCATCCTGGTTTGCTCCCTGGTGCAATTCCTGAATGCCCTGTTGGTACGATTTGCTGGATTTCAATTTCCCTTTTCAAAATCAAAAGATTCAGGGACAACCACGGGAGCAGTTGACCTGATGTATTAGAATTACATAATTTAAGAACATTTAAAGCGAAGAGGTTCATCACTACCACATTCAACAACCACTGGATGCACTAACTTTTAAATTATTAGCTCTAAAGAAGGTAAAAAAGTGCAGGTTTCAAATAAGTGTCAATATGGCACATGCAGAAAACAGAAGAAGACACTATTTGGTAACATCTAGATCAGAATACCCTCTCTTTCTTGGGGTAAGACCTTATGGAGATATTTTTTTCTAATACATTATTTGAAAAGTAGCTGGTATGAAGAAAACCAGGAATTATCAACAGCACTGAACTGGATCTGGAAAGTAAAACAAATGGGTTGCAATAGAGGCACACACTGTCACCAGCAGCAGCTTCACCCTTCGGCCCTTGTGAAAGTGGGGATGCAGCAGTTACTGCGTCGGGGCAGCGGAGAACAAGGACGCCCACAAATCTACAAGCATCAAACAAGAGAGAAGAAAATGGATGGGCTTTGCTCATAGCACACCATCAGGTCCACGTCTCAAAAGCAGAATGGGGAGATGGAACACAGTGCAAGTTCTTGTGGGACAAAACCCAAACACCTGAGTCCACCCCAACTCTTTAAACCAGCACCACCTGCACAGCACTGGCCTTGTTCCCACCCATAAAGCTCTTTTGGGATTTTCAGTCTTATCAAACCCTCTTTGACCCTGCAGTCCCCAAAAGCCCTCATTCCCCTGGGCGATTGCTGCAGCTGGGGGCTCTGCCACCTCGGTTAAACAGACACCCACAGCAAAGCAGGGTGTGGAGGAGATGCCAGATACAGCCCCTTCTGCCCCCCCCGAGAGAGGCAGCCCGGCTTGGTGCTGCTGAACAGCCCCCTGCATCACACCAAGGAGCATTTCCCAGAGCCGGGGCACGGAACGCAAACCAGGCACCCTCCACGTGGTGCCGTGCCATCCCGAAGCCCCGCGGTCGGGGCGTGAGGAGCCGTGCCCAGAACACAGCCCTGCAAAAGTAACACAAATAACCAAAACCAACCCCCTTGGCAAAAGGGCAGTGGTGGGTAATGCAGCAGACGGGCGTACAGGCATGCCGCAGCTCGGCAGGGACTGGCACAGAAATGCAGAAGGCTCCTACCTCGAGGCATGCCAGAACGGACAGACAGACCAGCCCTTCACCCTTAAACTCCTGCGAGTCAGTTAAAGCAGCCAGACCGCCCACCCCTGGCACGGCCGTGCCAGCCTGGTTACCTACGGACGGACCGAAAGAGCATTCTTCCACCAAACTCCACCGCTGCGGGGTACGCGGTGCCAGCGGGATGCAGGGCTCTGTGCAGGATACGGAAACGGCGTTCAGAGCAGACACAGCAGGAGGTGCCAGGGGGCACCTGGGCCCCCAGCGGCCTTTTATGCACAGGGGCTGCAGGGGAGGAGCATCCCCACCACCACCCCCAGCACCCAGCGAGCACCTGCGTCTTCCACCAAACTCCACCGCTGCGGGGTACGCGGTGCCAGCGGGATGCAGGGCTCTGTGCAGGATACGGAAACGGCGTTCAGAGCAGACACAGCAGGAGGTGCCAGGGGGCACCTGGGCCCCCAGCGGCCTTTTATGCACAGGGGCTGCAGGGGAGGAGCATCCCCACCACCACCCCCAGCACCCAGCGAGCACCTGCGGCTGCAATCAGGCCCGGCACCTGCTGGGACTCGCCTCTGAAATCAAAACGCTTCAAGCATTTCCTAAGGAAAACAATAACAACTTCTTAGCAAAATAAAGTTGGCAAAATATTTGTGCCTGTGACCAGCCGAAAGCACAGTCAGACCAGGTGCGACCAGCTCAGCCTGTGCTCCCGGGCGGGCACCAGCACCTGCTCCGTGGCCCACGTGTAATCCGCGAGCACCAGCTGGGTGGGTTTTGCCCTGTTTCATTTCTAGGCTAGCATATCTCGTGATTTAAAAAACAACAAAAATTGTATGGTGGGGAGAAATGTATAAATATGTTTTGAAGGTTCTTGAAAAATCAGATTTTTTGCTATCCCAATAAAAAGGTAGTGTGCACGTGTGTCTGCGTGTGCACGTGGACAAATAACTATATATGTAAGTACATGTATAGCGGGGTGTGTACCGGGCTTAGGCCACTGGCCCGTGCCTCCGAGACGGGGGTGAAGGGAGGAGCACCGTGTCGGGGCCGTGGAGCTCACCGTGCCCTCTGCACCCGTCCTGCGCCCCGCTGCTGTCACTGCCCCGAGCAGGGATCCCGCAGCCGACCCTCCTAACGCACATCCGCCTCGCCGGGCTCGGTTCTGAAAGACACCCCCAAGCAGAGAGCATTTATCACTTGGAAACAGCGTCAGCAACAGGCTTA